AAGGTTGTTTTCTTAAATTACTCTTATTTCTGTCATCTGCAAAAGAGAATTGTCCATTTAAGGATATGAATCCCATATTTCCTGTCATTCTTCTATAAATTTGCAAAGATAGCGTTTATTTCAGAACTAATTTACTGGTAGGTATCCAATTTTAGTGCACAAGCTAGAATTAGCGTTCTTTTTGCATATGATCGGTTGAATAACGTGGTGTTTTGTCTTTAGCCCTGTTGAGGAGGACAGAGATACAAAGATAATCTCAAAAGATGAGAAAGGTATGTTTTTTTTTAAAAAAAAAAAAAAATACAAATTACTTGGAAAAAAAATGTTACAGGGTCAAATCTAACCATTACTTGTGAGTCAATTGTAGTAAGTAAACATTCAAAGGAGTGAATGGAGTAACAGTTCCACTTTCCTTTTGACTTGCCTTTCTTGCATTGCTTATTTTTTGTGTCTTGTTAATTCCCTAAGCATGCATATATCTTCACTGTAATAGTTATATTGGAGTCCCACTAGCTTCGTGAATGGTGATAGGTACCGGCAAGACCAGGATTTGTCTGAGAAATCTCAACAGATGCCTAAATCTATGGGTTTATACTCTGTGTGGCAATTCTGGTGAGGACTGTTAATTCAGTGAACTCTCAATGCAGTTGTAACATAGGCCTTCAAAGCATGAATTGTAAATTTCAGGTCATGTAACTTCTGTAACCTTCTTAACTGACAAAGTTTTTTTAAAAAAAAGATGTTTCTTGTGAATTAACATTTAATACTTTGTAATTCTCATAAAAGTGATTGAAGTGTAGGAAGACAATATGTAGATGAAAACTCATTAAGACTATGCAAATGCACATCAAGTATGGAGTTCAGAAGTTCATTTTTGCAGGCTGCAATGTGTCTATTGATTTCAAGATTGATTGGCAGAGATAAAAGTAAAATTGCGTTTGAAGAGGTTTATGAAGAAAAAAGTGGGGTTCGTAGGGCGATTACTTTTTCACTGTTGCATTCTTGTGCTACATGATCTTTTATGTTGGGCTTTTTTGTACCTTAGGCCGTGCGAGTAGTGGTTCTGGCAGAAATTTGTGGGTTAGTGGACTTTCATCTTCTACTAGAGCTACAGACTTGAAGAACCTTTTCAGCAAGTATGGAAAGGTATGTAGCGGATATGTAAATTAACAAACCATTTTATCAATTTAAAAGGATGACCTTAAATTTAGCTCTTATTTTTCCTAATGAATAACTGGGTAGGCTAAGCACTTAACTTTCTTTTGTTCTTTTGACACTGTATCTGAAAGTAGCATATTTCATAAAGAAGGTTGTCTGAAATTGGCAGGGGAGAGAGGCAGGCAGAAATACAGGTTTCGGAGAATCTCTGTGCAGATACCTGTAAAAATGAGGCAATTCTTGACAGGAGATACTGGTGGGTTGTCATCTAGTGCGCTGTAGTCAATTGTACCTCTTGGGTGTCCAGCGATAGTTAATGCTGTTTTAAACTGTTTCATTTCAAGGGATATTCCTTGGAGAAATCTAGTCTTTGAGGGCAGGCTTCCATTTGTTGTTCAGTGCCAGCTAGGTTATGAGAGCAGAAGTTGTGGAAGAGAACTCTTTCCGTGACCATCTCCCCTTCCTCCTAATACGTTTCTGAATGTATTATTAAGTGTTTGTGTCACTAAGTGTGTGCCTCTGCACTGTCAGAGATTGTCATCTGTGGACAGAAACTAGCAGAGGTGTCCTGTAAGAAAAGACAAAGTGGTGGTAGGTTTTTTTAAATTATTTTTATTATTATACTCCCGCTCTCCCCTGCATATATATGTCTGCCTTATGTTATTGACCTGCTCAGCAACTTGAAGGTAAATTTTCTGAGCTGGTTATTATGGTGGTCTCTTTTTCAGTAGAGCTATATCAACAATCTGTTCCACAATCAGATTTATCTGTTTCATAGAATTTTGTGTTTGTTTTATACTTTTTTCAGGACACGTGGAATAATCTTAAATTTGAACCTTTTAGCTGTGTTTGTGTTGCTGTTGACTTGGGTGTAAACGCTGTTCACATCATACTCTGTGAAGTAGTCTTTAGTGAGGCACTTCTAGAACACGGTTGGCCCAACAGTATAGAGGTCAGGTTAAAACGATAACCTTTCCTTTGCTGCCTGGCAAACGAGCCTAACAATGTCATCTTCTGAGAATGCTGATGGAATGTTGTGTGCTGAGCATATTTCCTCCCTGTTAAAAATGGATAGGTGCTATACTGTGTGGTACTGGTAGACAGAGCTGCTCAAATGGTGATTAAGTTGGAATTTATTTGGCCACGGATCTGCAAACACAGAATAATTTTTTTCCTAAAGGTGGTCGGTGCAAAAGTAGTGACAAATGCTCGCAGTCCTGGCGCTCGCTGTTACGGCTTTGTTACAATGTCAACATCTGAAGAAGCCACTAAGTGTATTAATCATCTCCACAGGACAGAGCTGCATGGAAAAATGATTTCTGTGGAAAAGGTAAGTGGTAGCTGTTCCATGACAGTGTAATGAAAATAAAAGTGTGCAAGTTTAATGTCTGTCTCTTATTATAAAAATATTTCTGGCTAAAATTCTAGGCAAAAAATGAACCAGCTGGGAAAAAGCCTTCAGACAAAAAGGAAGGTGAAACAAGGAAGGAAAAAGACAGGCACCATTCTGCAGAGTCCAAATCTGAGAAGTAAAGTGTTTTTGGTATTTTTCTATGTTTAAAGGCCACTCATTTGAAGTGCAGCTACGTGACCAAAGTGAACAGTAACTGTAATAAATCTCAATTTGCTGCTTCATACGGCATCTGAAATAGGAGTAATACTTGGAAAATTGAAATTGGTGTTCTACAGCAGTAAGTGCATCTTAATTGGCCCTCCGTTCAGAAATACGGAGCTCTTCAGGGTTTAGTATCAAAACTTGTCAGTTATATCAGGAGGTACCCAATCAACTCATTTCTAGATAAACCATTATTTTTATCAGAATCGTTCGTCTTCTGATCTGACTCTGGCTTGGTCTGCTCTTTTAACTGACAAACACTTCCAGGATTTCGTCTGTCTTTTTGATAGACTGTTTGCATGGTTAGTGAGTGATACTTCAATATTTGTTTTTCAAGTGGTCTGTTGCTTTTGAAAGAGGCGTTTTGCTTTACTACTTTTTGTTCTCTCATAAAATTTTAAAAGATTTGGCAAAGGAGATGCTTTGGCAGGCTGGCTATGCATCGGGTGTTTAAGGTATTTGTTTACAAAAGCTCTTGCGGTGGAGTTCGATCTCTACCTGGGTGGACCCTCTTCCCCCTATGCTAAGCATGAACTTTACTTATAGGCAGAACAGAAGACTTCTAGCACTCAAAGTCTCCAAATACTCAGAAGGATTATCTGTTGTTTCTCACTTTTGGTCAGCTTTAGCTCAGTATTGGTTGGTACTCTTAATTGCGCGTACAAGTATGCATTGGCTTCAGCACTGCAGCATGGAAGGTATTGGGAGTGGGTTTTCTGAGAGTATTTTTTGGAGGGTTTTTGTGTTGAGTTTTTTTGGGTGTGGGGTTTTTTTTTTGACATGGTTGGCTTGATCAGAGTGGTTATATAGCACTTTTTGTTAGGTTCTCTATTAAAGCGAAGTTTATCTGTAGGTCTGTTGGTATTAAGAAGGAGGAGAAGACCGACAAAAAAGATGATGCTAAGAAATCAGAAAAAGATGGAAAAGACGAAAAAGAAGGAAAAGAGAAAGATGAACAAAAGGCCGGATCCTCTGATAGATCTAGGGCAAGCAAATCAGGTAATTCTAGCTGCCTTTCAGAAATGTTTTCAAGGATATTTGTTTTAAAAAACAAATTTAAAAAAATTGGTACAAATAATATAAGCGACTGCAACAAAGCTGCTACTTTGCATCCAAATAAATTTTCTTTATCAGCTAAGTAGGAAATGGAAGAACAAGCATAAACATTCAGAATTGTGGCTGATTAGTAGATTTCAGCTTCTGCAAACTTCAGTGTTCTTATTAGATGTGATTCATAATTCAGTAAAAAGACCATGAGGCATACTTAGTAATACTGAGGTTTTCCTGGTGAACAAAAACCAGTACCAGAAAATACCTTGAAAACTTTTTTCTGACTTAAAACGCTAGTAACTTAGCCACGAAGTTTTCATAATTGCTGGGCTTTAAATACTCAAAATGGTAAACTGTGAATTTTATGGAACTATCACTGGCTTTAGACCTGAAATAGTGTGCGGTTCTGGTGCTTTTTTTTTAACTGTGGCAAAGGGATGTATTTTGCAGAAGGAAGAATGAAATTAAATTTACTTTCTTTGAACTGTCATCCCTGCCAGAAAACATTATTGTAATTTTGTGATAGCTGTACTGCCCCCATCCCGAACTTGGCCAAATCTTGGTAAGCTATTTAAATCATAAATGTAGTCTTCCATAAGTTATTTAAAACCTCAATACAACAACTTTTTACTGCTTAGTATCTCGACAGTTTTAAATCTAGCAGGAATTTTGAATGTCTTGGATATTATTATTTCTCGGATGTATTTTGTTTTCTAGCAAGTCGAGGAACTGAAAGGACAGTGGTAATGGATAAATCTAAAGGAGAACCAGTTATTAGTGTGAAAACTTCTACATCAAAAGAGAGGGTAAGTACAACATTCAGAGAAGCCTTTATGTGAAAATAGGTGTCAAATAGCTTTATATGCATATAGTTGAAGGGTTTTTTTGTCTTGCATATTGGGAACAGTTATCCTTTTATTGCTTTCTGGAGAGCATTAGGGTGTTAATGATGCTGCAAAGGTAAATGCTTATGCTTCACCTTCTTTATAGTTTTTGTCGCTGCTGTCCTAGTTGAAGAAGTAGAGTTGCAATATGAAAATGATGATGTGTTTCCCCGAGCGTGGAGCGTGGTGACCAGTGACCTTTAAAGCGGTATATCGTTTGCCACTGGTGCAAGTCAGATCATGTGCCCCTAGTATTTATATATATTTAAACTCTTAAGAAGTTCTAGCCAAATTCAGGGTACTTTTCCCCTACCTACTTTTCCATGGAATTCCAACATTATTTACCTCTGGGAAGGTACGAGGGTCTGTTTTGTTCATGTTGGCATAAGGTAGGCTTTTTGCCTAGGTATTTTAGCTAAAAATGCACTGTGTTCAGGTAATGTATTGTTTTGATTTAACTCAGAGTACAAAAAGCCAGGATCGCAAATCCGAGAGCAAAGAAAAGCAAGATATTTTATCGTTTGATAAAATCAAAGAACAGCGAGAACGTGAACGTCAGAGACAGAGGGAGCGAGAAATCAGGGAAACGGAAAGACGCCGGTGAGTTTTCCCGGTTTTGCTCTAAACTTTGGCATTTGTTTTTACTTCCCTTATCTGTGTTTTGAACAGGCTGCAAAGTAGTGTCATGCTGGCCCTCCAACAGTATCTCAGATCGATTTGATACTAATCCATTGATAGAACAGACATCATGCCAAATTATGAAGGTTTTTACTACTGAAATCGATCTTCTCTAAGCCTATGCTTTTCGGGAGACTCTTGTTGAATAATAACTTTTCTAAGTGCTTTCAGGTCTCGCGTTCCACTTGATCAAATTTGAATTTCCGTACTTGATTTTTCCCTGGAAGTTTGTAAATACTTCCTGTTTGTCAGACTTCTGTCTTAGGACATGTTGTGCTGTATGAAAGCTTTTTCAGAGCTGAGTTAGAGTAGATACTGTGTTACTTACGCAGAATGCTTACCCTTGCTTCTTTCATCTGTATGGACTTTTTTTTCTTCCCCCCCTCCCCCCCCTTCCCTAAACTAAGCAGCTGTGATTTACTTGAGAAGAGATCATTCACATTTAAGCAGGTAGTGGGAAGGACATAGAAACTTTTTTTAAAAAAAAAAAAAAGGCAAACAAGAAACTCCACCCAAAACAAAGAAGCAATAAAGCTTAGACTTAAGATTCTCAATTGAAAACAAAATATCTTTTTTTCAATTAGAGAGAGAGAGAGGCGAGAACGAGAACAACGTCTTCAAGCTATTCATGAGCGGGATGAAAGACAGAGGCTCCAGAGAGAGCGAGAACGACTTGAATTTCAAAGGCAGCGTCTTGACAGAGAGCGCTTGGAGAGGGAGAGATTGGAGAGAGAAAGAATGCACATAGAGCAGGAGAGGAGACGAGAACAGGAACGAATCCAGCGAGAGAGGGAAAGCAGGAACAGCTACGCTACGAACAAGAACGGCGGTCTGCCATGAGAAGGCCTTATGATCCTGACGGCAGGTAATGATTCCCGCTATGAGATTCCAAACTCTTCGGCCATATCCACTTACAGATAGAGCATTCTAAAGCCTGTGTAAATTGTGAGTACTCTTGCTAAAGCAGTCATGGGAGCTCACAACTGAAAGTCTATTCACATGTTGCTTTTAACTAATATTGATCTTGAGAAAGACTTGTATACTTGTAAGCACAATTTTATTACAGCAGGTTTAAAATTCTTATTTCCCAAAGAGGAGTGACAGAGAACAGAAACTGTGCGTATCGACTCTAAAACAGGATTGCTAGTGGGAACAGATAGTCATTCTCTTCTCACGTCGGCACATGCTAAGATTAAGTTTTTTCTGTAGTGTCGATATACCTAGCTTCCTCTGAAACTGAAATGTGATGCCCGCTTAACACACAAGGGTTTTTAATTATAAATAAAAAATAATCGTTTCTATAATTGGATTGAATGAGGTTTGATATCAAGAGAGCAGGAAAGGAAGATTGTTTTCAGATTACTACTGATCATGACCTTTTTTGCAGGCGAGATGACCCGTACTGGCCAGGTGAAGCGAAGCGAATGGCAATGGATGATAGGTATCATTCTGAATTTAGTCGTCAAGACCGCTTCCACGACTTCGACCACAGGGATCGTGGCCGATACCAAGACCATTGTTTGGACAGGTCAGCAAGGCGGTGTCTTTTCTTCCTATACCTTTATGGAAATTAGGGGTCTTTTTGTAGCTTACTTGTGGCTTGAAGGGTGCCAAAAGAGAAGAGCGAAACAAATGACTCTTGTGCGTTTCTCGTGTCTAATTTTATACGTGCTTGCAATCCAGCGTTTCCGTTGTTTACGGACATACTGGAAAGAGGCTGCATAAAGATGATAAGCCAAGTCCTAATGTAGTCTGCTGTGATGCCGAGGAAGATCCTACAGCTTCTCTTGAGAAAAACGGAAATCTAGTTTATGAATCCCTGTTCATTAGCCTAAGATTTAGCCATTTCCTTTTGCTTTAAAACTTCCTACTTTCCTCTTTGCAGCCTAGCTAATGCAGATTTTTTAGTTCCACAGAATGCAAAAATACTTTGTGTGGTGCTAGTGAGACTTCTGTTTTGCTCTCAAAGGATCTTTGGCAAAAACCACACCGCTTTCCTTTTGCTTTTAACTAATTTCTGGTACTGGTAGTTCACTCAGTATTCTCCCTTGGTGCCATCAAGTACCTGACCATGCCTCAGTGATGCCTTGCTTACCCATATTACAGTAATAGATGTTACTTTGATCTCTTTCTATGCTATGAAACAAGAACTCATTTGAATACTTACCACTAAACAAACATTGGCATTCAGCTTTACAGCCTAATGAAGACAAATGTTCATGCGTTCTTTCATACAGACATCGGAATTATGATTACTGTGTTGATCCAACTGAAACTTCTCCTTTTTTGTTCCAGAAGAGACGGTTCGAGAGGAATACCAGATCGAGATGGGCAGGTGAGTTATACCCAAATAACTGCTTCAGTTAAACAGCCAAACAAACCGACCCCAAAGCAGAAAGAACACAGTCTGCATGCTGCCTATTCTTAAATGCAACCCCCACTGGGTTTAAACTGAGCAGATGTTCAAGCAGCAACAGATTTTGCACGCTAATGTGTGGAATGTAAATTATGAAGTTATCCGCTTGCTAGGGTGGTAGCCACAGATAGGGGCGGGGGGAAACCTCCGAGCGATGGGAGCTACGATGCGGCATCTTTTCAGGCTGGTACGTGGCGATAAAAGTTTTCTGGTTAACGATCTTAGGTGTCTGTATTGCGTTAAGAGGTAGTTACTGTAGTGTCTTATCCTTCACTGGCGAAGGATCCCTTCTCTGACGTTTATATAAATGGTTTGTAGAAAATAACTGGTGTCATAATGGAACAAGGCAGATGACTGTAAAAGGACAGGTGTGAACCACAATGGTATACAAAACCTTTCATTTCTGAAGAGAGGTAGGAAGTAGGCACATATTCTATGTAAAAACTAAAAATCTGGAGCCAGAGTGTAAGCCTTAAAAAACCCCAACCAAACAAAAGAACCACCGTACCAAACAAAAAGCCTTCTTCCACCAACGAGCGGAGCGGAATCTGTGCTGTGAAACAAAGTAAATGCCTAGAGTGAACCATGCACAGTAGCAACAATGGAACCAGTAAAAAGCGAGACAGCTGCTGTTTTATTTTCTGACAGCTTATAGAAAGGCAACCTCTGAGGAGCTGAATTTTTGCAATCCTAGAAGGAAAACCTGTATTGATTCTTAGCATGACTCTGTACCGTTTGCCTTCCAGCATTACACAGATGAACGCCATGGAGGGCCTGATCGTCACTCCCGGGATAGTTGGGGTGGCTATGGGTCTGACAGAAGAATGAGTGAAGGGAGAGGGATACCTCCACAAACCCGGTTAGTGCATGTGAAATAAGGGAAGTGATTTGTTGGTTCTTAAAATTTGAACACTCGGTGAACCTTTGAAGGGTGACAGCGGAAGCAGTTTGACAAGTGTGAATCCTCTCCAGATGGTTTCTTTGAGCGTCTGGAGAAGCAAGGAATTCGCACGTGTAGCTCCCCCATGCACCAAGAGAATGGAGCGTTGTAGTGAGTAAAGAAGTGCTGCTCAGTTAGCTCAGCTCATAACTGTGGTTCTCTTGTAAATAACTTTCTTTTCTACAGATGAGATTCAGTCCTGTACCGGATGCTCCAGTAACACCTACAAAAGTCTCATTTGTGGCTAGCGGTCAGGTTTTAAGGAAATAGAATCAGAATCTCTGCAACAGTGGGGGTGAGGAACTGAGGCTCATCTGTGGAATCAAAGCGGTTTCTCTTTAAACTAGCTAGTCGAGCAAGGCGTATTTCAGATGCATAATGTTCAGTTCTACGTAAGAGGAATGGCGGTCAACAAATTGTTCCATGTTTAAGTATTTTAGTACATTGTGATACTAATTATGTCTCTATAGATCAGAAAAAGATGAGCTTTGTTGCGCGAAGGACGCTGTTCAGCAAGTTCCTCGTCGTTTTTTCTTTGATCAGTTTTTATTGCAATGATTGGGTGGCTATAGATACAGCTTGATTAACAATTTAATATACTTTTGTATGGGGTACGGTGTTTGGCTTTACCCTATGCTGCTAAATGGATAAGGGACACACCTAGAAGATGTTCTTTTATTTTTTTAAGAGATGGACGTGACTGGGGAGATCATGGTCGAAAGTTAGAGGGGCATCAAGATCGTTCATGGCAGGGAAATGTGGATGGAGGAATGATGGGACGGGATCATGAGAGATGGCAAGGTACACTTGCTGCTTACCAGTGTGATCGTGGTTTTTTCTATGAATTACTGCTGCTGAACTTCTAGCGGTAGTTAAAATTCCTACGGAGCTTTAACAGCATTACCAAGAAAGCAAATAAAATTCTGGGAACAAGGTGGCTTTTTTTATTAGGAAAACACAAAAGTGTGTCTTTTTTTTTTTTTCTTTTTTTTTTAAATTAGGTGGTGATAGAAGCATGCCTGGTCAGTCAGGACCAGGCCATGTGATGAATCGAGGAGGGATGTCGGGGTAAGAAGCTTTGTCAGAGTGCTTACAATGTTTTTATAATAGTTGACTGATCTGTATAAAAGAAAAAAATCCTGTGTCAATTGTGAAAAATAATACTTTCAGCTTCTACTTAACTGTGGATAGGCAAGTAGAAAAAAACCTAAGCAAACATCTTTTCTCAGAGTCACAGTAGTATTAACTTTTCAGGGAAATTTTCAATTTGTCTGGTCTTGTGTTTAGGCGCGGAGGCTTCACGCAAGTTGGAAACCAGAGCCAGATGATGCAGAGTAGCGGAATACAAGGAGTGTTTGCGGGCCAGGAGCGGACGAACAGACCGACTGAACCCCGTTTTATCCGCCGCTACTGAAAGCACTATATATATACATATATATATATTTTTTTTTTTTAATGCCAGATGACAATGGTGGTGAATTTTATTAACCAGGGTCACCTTGAATTCGTGATTACAAGACTGCTGCCGCATTGTAGCCAAATATTATGTCAACTTGTTGGTTTGGTTTCTTTTTTTGTAATAAACGTGTTCTTGGTCAAACATCACTTAAGGTTTCTGTTAGTGAAACATTCCATTTTTCAAAAATAATAAAACCACTTTTACTAATTTCTTGTTTCTAGAGTCTTTGGCAGTATGCCTCTCACGAGGGGCTTAAAAGGCAGTAAAGGAGAGACAGTTGGCTTTCAGCACCGTGAATCTGTGACGGTGTGGATGTGTGTGTCCTTATCTGCATTTGAGAGGGAGAAGGGATCAACGTATTCTCATTTATTTCTCCACCAATTGTTACACCATGAATGAGTAGGAGTAGAAAGTAGCGCTGTCCTAAGCCAAAGAGATGCTGGATCCCCAAGCTGCTGGTACACCACCTTACGTAATAGTTTAGTTCCCATTTAACCATGTGGGTGTCCCGTGTTCACGTAGAAGTGAAACTCAGTCTAGATGCCTGTCCCTCTTCTAGTCTCTGTCCCTCTCTGTTGCTCTGCATCATTCTTTCTGTCCTACTCTCGATCCTTTTTTCTCTCCCCATCCCTCTGACCAGCCCCCCATGTCTGGCTGCCTATCCCTTGTTCCCCTGCAAGGCCCAGGAGAGTGGCGGCAGGTGCCCCCTGAGCCCCTGCAAGGGCTGGGAGAACCCTAATCCTCTCATCTCCCTGCCCTGCCCTCTCGAGACCCTTCTGCTCCCATTATGTTGCCTTCCCCCCCCCGTACTCTGCTCAGATCCCCCCCAAGTTCCTCACCATGTCCCCAAGCCTTCTTGTGTCACTCTGGCTCCCCCAGGACCCCTCTGCTCCCTGTCCTGATGTATCCCGAGGCCATCCGGGTTCCCCTTGGGACACTTGCTCTCTAGCACACTTTGGGCCTGTCTTGTTCCCTCAGAATGTCTCCTACAGCCATCTTTGTGCCCAAAACTCACTCTTTTTTTCCTCTATGCCATCTTTGTTCAGGTCCTTGCCCTCTGAGGACAGCTGTAGTCTGCTCAGATCCCCTCCT